GTTGAGGAAGACTATTCTATGTCTGTGCAAGACCATCACCCCTCATGAAGGAGATTTCTGTCTAGGATCATCAGGCATCTCTCCAGACATTTGCCCAAGCCTGTCAAACATCATTATTTGACATGACCTCTTCATGGCTGTTTTTTTTTCCTCTTCCAGATAGAAGAATTCTTTTCATTACTGCACTGCATACAGCATTATTTAACCAGTTTTAATGAAAATTAATATTTATTTTTCTGGATTTTCCAACATATATTTATGGTTGTCTAACAATAGCTCTGCATGCATGCATCCAAGATACATTTTACAAGTGGCACAGAAACAGTACCTGTATTTCTCTCTTTCAAATACCAGTAGAACTGTCCCATATGCAGGCTGTGTATGTATTACAAGTTCAAGCCCACATAATTCAGTTAAATTTGTGGTCAGAAGACAACAGTGTATCACATTGCTTTGCAGGAAGTGCAGCCAGCCCCAGGCAGGCTAATACTAACATATAATCTTGGCTTTCTGTTTGTGGGTGCTCTCATACAATTGCTGGATAACGTTTTCCGTGGGCAAAGTCTAGGCATATATTTGTAGACTGTAAACTCATACATAAATTTCAAGTAACATTAATTCAGTCCTCTTGTGTATATTCTTTGTTGTCCAGTGTTTTACTTGACCATAGAAGCACTTTCCAAAAGACCTCCAGCCTTCCACTCTTACCTTGGTCTCTATTGTTTGTTATGTTACTATCACTAAAAGCAGCACTTTGGAACATTTCCCTTGAAAAATCACTATTAAGTGAAAGCATTCAGCCATCTATGCTGTGCCAGCAGTACACTCTGTCTGTGGTGATGGTGTTCTTTCACAACACAGATCTTTTTCTTCCTCTTGACTTTTGGGAAACACCACGTAGAGCAGAAGTGTTCCATGCATCCCCCACCAGATCAGAGAAGCATATGCAGATAGGTAACATGACATGCAAATCTGCTCAGTAACAGTGTCCAAGCAGCTATGTTCCCTCATATGCACACAGGGAAATTGCCCATGTGTTGTACTTTTTGCACTTTTTCAGCTACTCACACTACCCCTTCAGCTATGAATTTCACTTCTGATGCATCTACAGGGAAGAGTAAACGAAATGTATCCCTCTGCTTCAGGCAATAATGTGCCTCCTGCGGCTTTCCTGGTCTAACTGGCTGAACCTGCTGCTGTCCCTTTCTTACTACAGGCTGACAAGTAAAAACATGAAAAATCTCTCACTTACTTCAGAGGAGAAAAAGCTCAGGAGAACAGGAAGCTGTGTATGAAATAAAGAACGAAATAATGACAAAAAAAGTAAAAAATGAAAGGCCTACACTGAGGTCATGTGAAGAAGAACAACAATCAAGGGAAAAGGAAACAAAAATACAGGGTACAAAAAGAAAAAGAAGGCAGAAAGGGAAGTTATTAAAGAAATACAGTTGGTATGCTGAAAATAGAAGGGAGATAAGGCAAAGCGGTGTTGTAGAGGAAGTGGAGGAGAGACTAACGTGAAAGATTAGAAGAAGCAGTCTTGAAGGAAGAGAGATACAAAAGACACTATGGAAAAAAAGGAAGCTACAATATTGTCTTACAAGCTAAGCTATTTCAACAGTCCTTTGGTGTTTGTCATGTAATGATCACCAGGCTATTAAAAGTTCTGAAGCATTTCCAGTGAGCAGTCAGTTCCTTGAACCAACCTGCTGTTGGAAGCCAATATTCTGACATGTGGATAAATAGATAATTTAGAAAAGGAACCTAGGGATGGGTTGACTAATAGCAACTAATAGCAAAAAAATAGTTTTTATTCAGATCAAACTTTAGGCTTTGGATCAAGAGGATATAAAAAGTCTGTTTTGTAAGACACACATTTTCTCTTCCTGAGACCCTCAGCGCAGAGAAACAAACAAACAAAAAAAAACCCCAAACAAACCCAAATAGCTTTTATTTTGTATTTGAAATATGAAGCAGGTGTCTTATTTAAAGGCAACCAACCAGCTAAGCTAGTTAATATGGCCCAAAATAACCCTTTCCTGGTCTCCCAGTGGAGACAACTGAAGGTAAAACGTAATGTAATCCCAATTACGGTATCATAAGCTCAACAACTCTTGTTCAATGGGGGGTTTTGTTGACATTCAACTGACAAAAGGGAGTCAGTTAAAAAGTAGAATTACTTATAGAAGACCAAGTGGTACTTAAATTTAGCTTATAATATGAAGATTACCTACCCTGCACCAGGCAGGTGTTGATTATTCTATGACCTCATACATGATGGATTTTACTGCACCAGAGAGACAGGACTGCAAATGACTGAATTTTTCCAAGCTGTTCCACACATATATCAGACAGCTTGAACAAAATTAATATTAATGAAATTAAGGCAAATTATTAGTTCAGGCAAGATATAGTGCTATATGTTAGGCATGATGTAGTGTAATTAGTACTGATCAAACTATTAATCATGGCAAATTACCAGTCACATTTTGCCCTTGGTGTTTTTTAGTGGCTCTTCTATGAATAGATCATGCTTTTATTGACTTTTCTGGTTCTGATGTTGGTGAATACTACTCAAAATCAGTATGTGAGAAAAAAATTAATCTACAGGCTTCTTTTGTGCTGTTGACACCAAACTTGTATCCTTAAGTACTTGCATTCAGTTTATTAATAATAGGACAGTTGGTCTTTTAATTGTCTGATTTGATAACTCCACCCCAGCCAAAACTAGAATATCAGTGTTCCCCTCTTTTACCAGAAGAAAAAAAAAAAAAAAAAAAAAAAAAAAAAAAAAAAAAAAAAAAAAAAAAAAAAAAAAAAAAAAAGGAGAAAAAAAAAGGAATGAGGGAAGTAATTACTGTTTGACAGGTTGGAATGAAGGCACAAAGACTATGTCTAAGCTTGAGGAAGAAAGCATTCTTACATACACGTGACAAATCCATCCCTCCTTGTTTTTTGCAATAAGAGTGAAACTATGGCACTGGTATGGGCAGAGATCTTCAGTGCAAGCAAGATAAATGCCCTCTATGAATGGACCATAGAGCACAAACCAACAGACATCAGTCTAGACACACTTAGAGAGGTTTACCAAAGTGCATAGTGGTTAAAGTATCGCTTTATAATATACAGTCTAATATAAAATAAAAATTTCATATTCATCTTCAACCTCCCAGCTAATGATAATGTGTCTTGTTTGTCTCATTTCTTGACAGGAACCTGTGTTATCCTTGCCACCCTCCATAAATAAATAAATAAATAAATAAATAAATTTTCAGTAACAGACTTTCCCAAGCTTATATTCTGATGTCATTACTGCTGAGAAAATACATACTAATTGGAACAATTATCTTGAAGTTAAAATAGCATGACAATTTAAATTAATAAAATTAAACCAAAATCACTAAACACATTTTTTCTCCAAGAATGCTAGATTTTTTGCCTTATTTTGCCAAACATCTCCTATCTTCATCCACTCCCATCTACATTGCCTACACTATCTTTGTATGACACGGAAGTAAGTATTCTCTAAGCCATCTGAAGAAGTTTGGAACATTTTACTGAAGCCATTGATTTAAAGCATAACAAAGAAATTAGCATATAGAACAAACTGCTGTAGTATCAGGAGTAATTGATGATTGTTTGACAAATCAGTCACCATATATTTTAACCACTACTTTCTTTCCCCCTGGAGGCATTCCTTCACTGCCAATCAGATCTTCACTTGGCTTTCCAGCCTGTGTGCACGCACTCTGTCCAGACAACCACATAATATTTCCCTTTTGGAGTGGTTGTCATCGTTCTCCAGCAAAAATAGCTTTGTTAAAGTATTTATATGATAAACAAATATTACAGCATGGAGACAGTACTACTTAGCCAAACAACTTCATCGTTTTATAGCAAGCACAAACACCTGGAGTTGTGTGTTTCATTTGGAGAGTAGGTTAGCAAAGATTTTTTTTTTTCTGGCACCTACAATCTGCACACATAATACTGCACAGTCCTAAGGACAGGAAACTTATTTTATTTTGGGTTCTAGCAATGTGTCTGTTTCAGAGAAGCCGTGGATGCCCCATCCCTAGAAGTGTTCAAGGCCAACTGGGATGGGGCTTTGAGCAACCTGGTCTAGTGGAACATGTGCCTGCCCACGGCAGTGGGGTTGGAATGAGATGATCTTTAAGGTCCCTTCCAACCCAGGCCATTCTGTGATTTTACGACTGTCTGGTATAATTTTTAAAACAACCAGAGAGTGGTAAAAGTATTTTACTAGATCAATTTAGGAACCGGAGGGGAACAAATTTAGCTGTGGGTGTTCGATGGGTTTAATAGGAATCCCGTAAATGAGCAGGTGATTTCTTCCTGGTTGCCTGAGCCTTTTCCGCATAACGCTACGTCACTGCTGCCTGTTTGCACAGGGCGAGCTCAGCACCACCCTTCCCATGCCCAGTCCCAGGCCTGCATGTTCAGAGAGGCAGCTGGGGTGCAACACCCTGCACCCACAACATCCCTAGCCGGGTTCAGGTAATGGAAGAGGAGATAAGGAGCCAGCATGGGTCACTGGAACCCTCCACTTGCCACGCATCCGGATAAAGCCCATTTTTGTCCCACGGACCTCTCTGTCACAACGCGCTTTGCCGAACGCTGGGGAGAAACCCCAAGTGTTTTCAGAGACTTCACCAGGAGAAAACTTCGCCGCCGCCGCTGCCACCACCACTAGAAGGGGGCAGAGGATGGCACTGGCAGGGAGCTGGAACTTCCCCGGTCTGAGCCTTCTTTCGAGACTCAGCTCCCGCTACGGCCGCCACTCCGCTCCGCTCTCCCCGAACACTTCCAGCCCATCCTGCCCAGTCTGGCGGGCGTGGAACTTCGGCACCTTCTGGGCGACACGCAAACCTGCTCCCGCTGTCCTGTGTCCCCGTTCCCACCCGGTACACTGGAAGGGCAGGGCGGGGCGGGCCGGGTCCCTCCCCCTGCCCCTCCCCGCCGCCCTCCCCCGGGCTGGTATAAGCCCGCGGAGTTTCCGCGTCCTGTGACTGCAGTCAGGTGGTGCTCGGGGTTCCCTTCTCACTTCCCTCCCTCCCTCCCTCTGTCCTGCTCCGTCTTCCCCCTCCTGGCGAGGGCCGGCCCTGCGGGGAGCCGGCTGGGGAAAGTTGGAGGAAAGTTGCTAGCTGGGAAAGTTTAGAAGCGGGATTGCCGCGGCCCCGGCAGCCCGGCCTCTCCGCCACGCTCCACGGGAGGGAGGGCCGAGGATGGCCGGCGGGGAAGGAGCGGGCTCCGGCGTGCCGGAGTGTCGGGAGCACCTCTTCAAGGTGCTGGTGATCGGGGAGCTGGGTGTGGGGAAAACCAGCATTATCAAGCGGTACGTGCACCAGCTCTTCTCCCAGCACTACCGGGCCACTATCGGCGTGGATTTCGCGCTCAAAGTCATCAACTGGGACAGCAAGACTCTGGTGCGGCTGCAGCTCTGGGATATAGCAGGTACGGGACAAGGCGGGCTTCTCCCTGCAGGGTGAGCCCCGAGGGTGCTGCGAACCTGGCTATCGGGGGCCCGGGGCCCGGCCTCTGCGGAGGAAAGTGTGTTTTGACAGTGAAATCTGTCTTCTTGTTTTTCGCTTTCCTCTTGTTACGTGCAACCTCCCCTGCCTGCATTTGAGGCAGAAGTAGAGGGAGGTCTTGACGTGGGAGTGAAGTTTTTGACTTTTTAATGGCTCTGTGTGCTGCTGTTAACTGATGCTGTTTGGTTCTTGGCTTGGCCCGGGGTTTTGTAGCAGTCCTCAAACAGCTGCTTTGCTCTGACTGCCAGATCCACAGCTCCCGGAGAGTTCCTGCTCATACTGCTCCTCCTGACCTGCTTGTTTGGGTGCTAGTGGCCTTGGTTATGGCTACTGCTGAAATTAATTCATGGTTAAGGCTCTGTAACGCATCTAGAAAAAATAAATATATTTTCCAAGTAGGTTATGTTTAGTAAGCAGGCTTTACAGGTTAAAGGTAACCCAAACAGCTAAAATTGTGCTCAGAAGAAGTATGCTAAACTTTGTGTGTCTGGAGTCACCTCCTTGATTTAAAAGTAACTTACGTCCCTGAAACATGGAGTGAGGGAATGGAACTTCTGTCATACTTAGCTCTGCATTCAAATTATGAGTTTGTGTATTAGAAAGGTACTTTGAACAAGTGGAAGCAGACAAGCCCTGTTCACTTGTCCAAACTGTGCATCATTCTTTTCCTCTATATAGTTCAAAGCTGTTCTTTAGCACCTCTGTTTCAGATATTCAAACTGTATACCTACCATGGTTAACTTCTGCTGCAGTGTTAAATGCCATAGAACAATCTGTTTTGCTGTGGCCTTGCAAGAAGTCTGTCCTGTCAGCACCTTACTCACCTTGGTTGGTATTGTATTTCTAGTTTTGTGTGCAGCCCAGGTGTTAACCTGCATCTCTCTTTATCTGTGTCTGCCATGTTCAGAATATATCCAGTTTTGGATATGAAAAAGTAGACTGTATTTCAAATCCTGGTGTTTAAACCTACTGCTACTGGAAGACACAAGAAAAAAAAGTGGTTGTTTCCATTAACTCCATGTTTTATCAGTGGAAGCTCAGAAATGAGGAAGTTTGTGTGGCTGCTGTAGCCCTGTGACAGACCAGCTGTACATCACCTTCTGTTCTTTCTGGTCTAAAACACTACAAATGTGTTTCCTCAGACTAAAAAGCCTGTTTCTCACTGCCATACACTGCTGAAACACCCCATGCATCTTGCTGCTGTTGGCCTGTGGGACAAATGAAAATATTTTCTAGTTGCTGTTTTGAAGAGCATGTAAAATGTTGGCAAGCTTTCTCTTTTCAGGTCTCTTTTGTGTTCCTTTTGTGGATCAGCTTTAAATTTCTGTCGATCAATTAACAGGATCAGTACAAGCTGCTGCAATCCCCTGGGTATATTTTAGCAAGTCTGGGGTTCCAGAGATAGAGGAAGGGAGGCTATCAGGATCCTGGGGTTTGGCAGGCTGCCATGCTTGCGTTTGACTTCTTTTCAATCCTTAGTCCCTGAGACTGGGGTAGGCTGTAAGTTTTCCCAAAGCAGTCAGTTTCAACAGGATAGGCAGAAACTTAGCTGTAACTTGTAACAAAGTTTGGACAGAACCTATTTATATTTTGGGAAGTTCTATCAATATATCCATGTGTTAAGTTCAAGATCCAGAAGACAGTATTTTTCACTCCTGATTATTTCCCTTAATGTGTTTTTGACAGAAGACTGAGTTAAGAGCTTCTACTTAATCCCTGGAGGCTTGTGCTAATATTTCTGATAGATTGAAGAATTAAATTTTTTTTTCTGTCACTGAAATATTTTTCTTAGTTCATAGTACTTTTGTATGAAACCTCTGGCTAGTCTTTCCCTAGCAAAAATGGGAAGATAAAATTATTTTGCAATTTGCACTCTAAACTCTTAGTCTAATCTGGTAGTTTAGGCTATTCTGTTTTCAAGGGGCTGAGGGTTCTTCCCCCAATAAACAAAACCAAACAAAAAAACACAAAACAAACAAAACCAACAAAAACAAACAAAATAACCCAACCAAAAACGAAGGCCAAGAGGGGAAGTAATCTTACACTTAATCATTTTGATTGGCATGTGCTTAGCCAATGTGAGAGCAACAATTTGGACTCCTATAGCACTCGACGTCTCAGAGTTAATAATTAAAATAAAGAGTGTTTTAATATCCATAAGAGTTATTTGATGGTCTTAAAACTGCTGAAGTCCTCAACCCAGGAGTGTATTTTGCAGCTATTTATGTACACAATCAGGAATATTTCCAAATACCTGAAGATGTTAACAGACTTACTTTGAAGTTATTAGTTAAAAAAACAGGTTGAAGATGGCTTCTATACAGTCATAGAACATATTCTCTAAAGCACTTTATTGAAGTGTAGCACAGTGCCCGAGCATGTGATAGTCATTCCCTTTTAACTCATCAGCACAGCTGTCTTCTGGCTTTCAACAGCTCATGTAGATAATTTTGTCTGCTGGTGTGTGCAGACAAACAGCTTTAGATCTCTTGAAGAGATCTGAATCTTATGGTAAGTAATGTTACATGTGACTTCCCTGCAAGCAATATGGTGCTGGCATTCTGAATTGATTTTGATGCATTTAAATAGGCTTCTGAATTAAAATCTATAGCATAGAAAAATCTAAAAGCATAGAAAGAGTGATTACATGAGCCAGCAGTGAGCCCAGGTGGCCAAGAAGGCCAATGGCATCCTGGCCTCAGGAACAGTGTGGCCAGCAGGACATGTGATTTTTTTTTTCCCCCTGTACTCAGTGCTGGTGAGGCCACATCTGGAGTGCTGTGTTCAGTTCTCGGCCCCTCAGTTCAGGAAGGATATTGAGGTGCTGGAGCGGGTCCAGAGAAGAGCAACCAGGCTGGTGAAGGGACTTAAGCACAAGTCCTATGAGGAGAGGCTGAGGGAGTTGGGGTTGTTTAGCCTGGAGGAGGCTCAGGGGAGACCTCACCACTCTCTACAACTGCCTGAAAGGAGGTTGTAGCCAGGTGGGCGTCAGTCTTTTCTCCCAGGCAATCAGCAGTAGGACATGAGGCCAGGATCTTAAGCTGTGCTGTAGGTTTAGTTTGGATATTAGGAAGAAATTTTTTATGGAGGGAGTAATCAGACATTGGAATGGGCTACCCAGGGAGGTGTTGGATTCTCTGTCCCTGGAGGTTTTTAAGATGAGACTGGATGTGGCACTTAGTGCCATGGTCTGGTAACCACAGTGGTGTTGGATCAAGGGTTGGACTTCATGATCTTGGAGATCATTTCCAACATGGTCGATTCTATGATTATTTTTCACTAGATCAAAGCTTGTATATAACAGTTCATAATAAAAGCTCTCCTTAATGGAGATAGATGCTGCAGTCTAAGGTTTTGTACTTAAGTCAATGCTAAGAACTGACCGTGTAGGTCATTCTTAAAACCATAAGGCAGATATTGTGCTGGCTTCTGGTGTGATTGTAGGCAAAATGACAAGTGTTGTGCTGTGTATTGCAATGCAGCAGGTTCCTGGGTGACTTCAAATTCTTGTGCTAGCTGAGGATTTAGTTTGGTGTCTGGGTGACTTCAAATTCTTGTGCTAGCTGAGGATTTAGTTTGGTGTTTGTTTGTTTAATATTTAGATAATTCTATCAAATAGAGCATGACAATGTTACACTGCCTCTGCTATTTTTTTTCTTTTTTTCTAGTGAAAATAGCTGCTTTGTTGTAAGGTACAAACTAATGCAAATTTTTGCAACAGCATCAAAGGGGAGGGGATGTGAAATGAAGGGGGAGGGAGTGTACTGTTGTGCATAGACTTATGTATTTCAGAGTTACTCAGGCATTTTAGTTTTTAGGCACCGGTTGCAACTTCTTGAATAATGGAGACGAAGAAGCTTAGTAGTAAGACTAATCAGTCACTGTCAAATTATCTTGGTTACAGGATGAAGTATTCTGAAAAAAGCTGGACAGATTACATGCATGTTCATACAGGAGCCAAGCTTCTAAACCTTAGCTGCCCTTAGGCATTACTCCCAGGTATTTTGTTTGGTTGTTATCTTTAAAAAAAAAAAACAAAACAAACAACAAAACAAACAAACAAAAACCCTTGATGTGTGAAGTAATGATCAATTTCTCTTTCTGGATAAGTTCTGAAGGTATTAGAACCAGGTTAACCATCTTGATCAAAGGGCATAAATGATTGGCAAAATAAATAGGACACAGGAATGAGTCGTGATAAAGAGATGTCAAACAAAGGAATCTTAATGATAAGGAAGTGCTTTTATAGTCTGTTTCAATACATTAGAGATTCCTACTTGACAAACATGCTGTGTTAATGAGTACACTGCACTGACCACAATGTGGTCAGGAGGTGTATCTAGCGTATTGATGAAACTTAGTCAGATGATACTGAGAGAACACTTCAAGGGTTTTCTATATCATAGAACCTTTTGATCTGATCTAATGAAACCAGCAACTGAGTAGCGTTAGCTGCTGCTCTATGGTCACGTTGATTATCACTGTCACTCATATCAGCCTGTATGAACATGCAACTTGCTGGAGGGCAGGAGTGGTAAAGATCATAGATGACCACTTGAGCTTGGCTTCTCATGAAGGTTGCCACTAATGGCAACTAGTAGACAAATTTGATTTTAAAGCTTTGGCTGAGCAATTCTGAATTAACTTCAGTGTAATAGCACCCTTCTTCCAGGACTTTATTAGAATTTTTTTGTAAAAATATTTATTAAAAATGAAGTAATGCATTAACTCGAAGAGTGTGGCTATGAAATAGGCCAAACAGAAGAGGAGTACTTTAGAATACTTTGGTATTCTAAATCTGCTTTACATGCTTTCAGGAGTTGTAGCATGCCAATTTGTTATTAAAACCTTGTTTGTCTTCTTGAGAAGATTGGAACTCTAACAAAAAGTATATACCAGTCCCCAAGAGGATGGAGAAATCAG